ATAACACTATTATGTCATATCAGAGTCAGAGTCAGAGTTTCTTTATTGTCATTCGCACCTCATGTGGTACATGTGGTGGAGCGAAATTATGTACACAGGGTCCCAGTTACATCCAACAATAAAATGTATAAGAAAAACAGTAATAACATCTAAGATATGAACTAAGAAAAACATCAACTAAATATACACTAAGCACTCATAACATAAAACATTGAACATCAGCACAAACATGAACATGAGTCTGTGAGCAGATGTGCACGCATATAGCTTAAAAAGTGTGTGTGTGTGGGTGTGTGTGTGTGGGGGGGGGGGGGTATCACTTTGAGATAAATAGTAAAAAAAAAAAAAAGCATTCATCTTTCTTCATTTGTCCACATGATACACAAAAGTGGCAAAAAAATAAAAAAATATAAAAAAAAACTATCACTGTCTTCTGTGGTCAGGTCATGGAGATAACAGGTCCAGGAGAGAAAACCAGACTTCCCTCTCTTCAGCCCCACTTTCCAGCTCCTCCTGAGAGACCCCAGGATGTTCCCAGGCTAGAGAGGATATATATAACCCCCCCAGCGATTTCTAGGTCTGCTCTGGCCTCATACCAGTTGGACATGCCTGGAAAACCTTCAAGGGGAGGCGAGACATCCAGGTGGCATCCTAATCAAGTGGTCGAGCTACCTCAACTGTCTTCTTAGTAGCAGCTCTACTCTGAGCTCCCCAGAAATGGCAGAGTTCCTCATGTCTCTAAGGCTGAGCCTGGCCAACCTATGAAGGAGGCTCATTTTGGCTTCTTGTATCTGGGATCTTTTGGTCATGAGCCAAACCTCATGACCATAGGCCATTGTTGGAACCTAGACAGACCAGTAAATTGAGAGCTTTGCCTTTTGACTCAACTTTTTTTTACCACAGCTGACCAAAGCAACACCCTCATGACTGAGTACTAGGCCCCAAATCATTGATCCACCTTACACTCCATCCTACCATCACTTGTGACCAAAACTCTCAGATGAACTCCTTCACCTGAGGCAAAAATAATTCTAATGTAACCGTTCCAGTTTCACAGAGTAGTCCTGTCTGCTGCTTCGCTGTTTGTAAAATAATGTTCAGAGTACAAAATCATAGGAATTTTTAAAGTTGGAATTGTTCCATAAGACTTGGAGGAAAATCTTGTGATACTTTGTGTAATCACGCCGGCCTAACCGTGTTTTTACTTCTTCTAGATTTTCCCAAAAAGACAAAACAAAAGGTGACAGGCTTTTCTTTCAGAAATGCTAGCTATTTTTATTAAAGCTTTTTGTGTTTTTATGGCTTTCCTATGATTAACAAATAATACAGTCAGTTTGTTTTCAGATAATCGGCATTTAAAAATCGAGGGAAAAAGAAAAAGTCCTCCCCTCGCCTTTCCTTGTGTTTCACTGAAGGTTGAGACCAGATGTTCTGCCACTGGCAACTTCAGCAGCAGCTTGTCACCAGGTGACATCCAGTTCTTCAACAAAGAAAACTCATCTGACACCATCAGACCATGCAAATTTACACTTTGTCAAGATGCTGTTGCAGCTTGGGGAGGGTTGAGAGGATATGCTTGGTGTTCAGTAGTGTGTGACATCACAGCGACGTCTGTGACATTTTGCCGATGCTTATAATCTTTTTATGATTTTCTCCCAGAGGGGCAGTGAGTTAACGCCCCGTCCCCCCAAATCCCCACCTTTTCTTAATACTGTACTCACAAAGGCATTTTCAAAGAATGCTACCTTAATGGAATTGGTTCTTTAGAGTCATGTCCTGCTCTAGTCTATGAAAAGCTGATTTATTGGATTCTGAAAACACAAAATGGAAAAATCACAACATTTGCACATAAGTTCTGTCATCATCTTTGTGCTCACTACTGGGTACCCAATACCCATTTGTACTGGCAATTTACATTTTCTATCGTATGGTAACACATTATGATGCTCAGAAGTTTTTAGTGATGATAAATATTTTTGATAGTACAGTAGTCCCTCACAATTTCGTGGTTTGTTTTTGGTGGACTCGTTCTATCACGATTTTTCAAAGTAAGATTGGACATGACACACTGTTATTTCCCTTACAAAAAAAATAAAGCCATTGATAATGTTAACAACAAAGTCCATGCTCAATAATCCAGGTATACAATCCAACATTTTTCAGTCAGGTCATCTGGACAGTTTCTTTTTTTGTGCTGAAACGTTTCGCCTTCAATCCAGAAGGCTTCGTCAGTCAAGGAAACACACAACAAAACTGATTCTTCCCCCAACATCTTACTCCAAAGTGGAACAAACCAGTTCTGCTTGTGATAAGATGGTCTCTTTGGTATGCCCCTCCTCCATTACCAACCCTCTTCCTTGTTGACAGTCTTGTCAAACTGGTTGAAAACAACTGTCCAGATGACCTGACTGAAAAATGTTGCATTGATAATGTTCCAAATTGACAGGGGAAAAAACACAGAACATGTTTCTTTTCTTTTTAAAATGTTTTCACATGTTTTTGCAAGGACAACACGGTGGCTCAGTTGGTAGAGCTGCTGCTGCTCAGTGTTCAGGTTGCCCTGGTTCAAATCCCAGTCCGGGGGACTTTCTGGGTGGAGTTTGCATGTTCTCTCCGTGCATGTGTGGGTTTTCTCTGGGTACTCCGGTTTCCTCTTGAGAGAGTGAATGGTTGTTTGTTTTGTTTGTCTCTATGTGTCCCTGTGATGGACTGGAAACCTGTCCAGTGTGTCCCTTGCCTCTCGCACAGTGATGGTTGGACATGGGCACCAGTGACCCCCACAAACTAAAAAAGAAGAAGCGGGTAAAGATGATGACTGGCTGGCTGGCTGGCTGGCTGGCTGGCTGGCTGGATGGATGGATGGATGGATGGATGGATGGATGGATGGATGGATGGATGGATGGATGGATGGATAGATATCCTGATTCATGCTCAATAATCCAGGTAGAAAAATCCAACAAAGTTAAGTCAGGTCCTCTGGACAGTTTCTTTGTGTTGAAACATTTCATCTTTCATCCAGAAGACTTCATCAGTGGATGGAAGAATTACGCCTTTCGTGGTGATGAACTATCATATAAATACTGGTTGGTAGCATTGATATTTTGCATTTATCAACAACAGTGTGAAGTTTGTCGTCTCAGTGTACAGTACGTTCACCTCCCACCTACTGAGTACCAGCCTTACATGTGGGCGATCACTGCTCACTATGGAGATGGTTATCTCAGCTCTAGCTCAACCTACTTTTGTAAAATTTGCCTCAGACATATAAACATGTGCATCATGGAAATAAAAAGAAGCCTGCAGCTCATTTGCACATTTTAGTGGAAGTATATAAATGATGAATGTGTTTCTGTCTGTAGGGAAGAGAAGATTGTGCTGGTTTGTTTCCTGTGGTTGGTGGGGTGGTTCTTTCAGGTTGCACGTTGTTTTCCCTTCAGATCTATTCACCGTTAAGTCAAGTCGTACTTTTTAACTGTCCAGCTGGATTAATAGTAACTCACTGTAGTCGAGCTTTATTCTGTGTTAAGTGACAGGAAGAACGGGCTTTTATTAATGTTTGATATATTTATAAGTGATATTATTTCCTGAGGGAAGTGCAGTAATGAGATTTAAACGTCTACAGATCTCGAACTGAACATTTCAGGGGCAGGTTTATTTTAATGTGTTGAAAAGCACGTAATTTTAAATGGCATTCAATAAAAAGGATCTTTGATTCTTAAAAGAAAATATCAGGAACAGCTTGCAGCTCTCAGCGGGGTCGATTCAGCAGCCCTGCAGGTGGTTTATTGATGGGAGTTTAGAGTGCTTTTAGTTAATGGCTCTTATAGATTTCAAGCTGCATTTGGGTTCCTTTATATTATGAAGGTGCTTCATTCATGATTCTAATGATAAGGCTGCATTATCAAATGATGTGACACTTTAGGATTTCAGGTTTTATCAAACGTAGCATTTGTTCTGCATAATTCAGGGGATTATCGTCTATCCAGACAGATGATTTGCTTGCCTGTCCACAAACGGACCATGAAGACAACGGGCAGAATGCTCATGGGCCAGGGCAGCTCTGGGGGGTAAACAATGCAGTGAGTGCGTTTGTGTACGAAAGCAAACATCTGTGTTTATCACATGTGCTTCTCTTTTGATACAGCTGGGGGGTTCTTTCAGGGACACGTTGGCTCAAACTTTTACTGTGCTTCATCTTCTGACTCACAGCGTTTTCTATCAAGTGGAACAAGTTAGATGTTCCCACCGCTAGTTGGAACGACTCTCCGTCACATTTTGCAGCACACCGACTGAAACCTGCAGTTTATCAGATCGTAGATCACCAAACCACGTCCACACCGAATAATTAGTCTTTCCTCTTTTATCAGTTATGTCATCTGCTTTCTGTTCGCTTGTGAAAGCTTGTTCAGTCACTTTCTGACGGTCATGGGCACTCATTTTGATGTGAAAACTTAACGCTCGTTGTAGATTAGCCTAGCCTAGCCTGCTACCGCTAACGCCTTCTGGACTCGAGCTCTGGGTAACATCTACGTCACCACGCACTGACGTAGTTGTGTCGCACCAGCCGCTTCAACCCGAACAGAAAAAGAAATTTGTCAGTGAAACGTTGTAATCATATTGAAATATCGAAAGTGTACTTAAAACTCATATTACCGTTATTGAATAAAAATATATTGTGATATATATCGATATCAAATTATTGTCCAGCCCTACTGAGACCACAGCTGTAAACAACAAGGATAGATTTGTGCACGAGTATCCTTATGCCAGGTCTGGAGACAGCAAATACTTCTATGCTGTACAGTTGTTGTTCTTATTGAGAGTAATATATTTTGAGAATACTTTATAACTTCAAACTTTGTTTGAGAATTTAAAAAATATTATTACCATACAAACTGCTGTTAATTAAGCAGCTGTCGGTTTGTCCAGTCAAAGCCATCGTTAGTCACCTCTTTGTTTTCAGTCAGTAAGATAAAATATATGTTGTGTGTGTGTTTAAGGATTCTGTGCTTCCCCGGGGTCTTCCTCTCCTGCTCTGCCGCTCAAGCCATGGACCAGAGCTACGTCCGGTCCTGAGGGTCCTGTGATCATCAGATGGCTCCTCAAAAGTCAGCCACAATTCAGAACGTAGGTTTGACGACTGAAGACATAACTGAGTCACGTGTACCTGCATTGTTATACACAGCTGACTGGTGATGCACTGGAATAAAATTAACCTCATTTAACACCAAATTTCATTAAAAAAAAACCTCAAACTCAAAGTAAATGCTGCATTTGCAGCTTATATACTCCTGTTTGGACAGTTCTGTGACTTAACATTTGGATTTTTATTGTCAGAGTGCATCTAAAAACCTTAAATCACATTTTATGTTTTGTCAGACTAGTAGACTCAGTTGTATAAAAACTGTTAAAGCTGTGCTGCACTCTGCAACACATTACGTTGCTGTATTGTTTAATAATTACATGTACAAAAGATGCACGGGGCATATACAATGTTGAATAAGTGAATAAAAATGCTTACATAGTGCAAAACGTAAACAATAATTAAAAATCTGTCCTTTCAGAACAAAGTGAGTTTAAACAAACAAGAACTCCATAGATAACGTCAGCTGCTGCCATCGATTCATGTAATCCTATCTGCAGCCTGTCAACAAACATATTATATTTTGATCATTCAGCATTTTGTTAGAGAGAAAAGAGGGATCAACAAAACAAAATAAACATATTTATAATTTAATCCAATGGTAAATGTCTGTATACTGGTACATTTTCTGTTAAGCAGGGATAGTTTATTGTTAATAATCAACTAACTAACTCACTTTGCCTGCAGGTAGTCAGTCTGCAGGTTCTGTTTATACAGTGTTTGTGCATTTTTACGTTTTAAAATACGAAGTCAGAATCAGCAGCTGTAGCGGTGAACAAACTACCATGTATCCTGTTTGGTGGTACAGAAATACTTAAAATATCGGTCTAAAATATAAACTTGTCATATGTTTGGGGGAGCAGCTGTGGCTGAGTGGTTAAGAGCAGTCGATCTCCAATGGGAGAGCTGGGGGGTCAATTCCACCAGTACTCACATGCCTAAGTGTCCCTGGGCAAGACACTGAACTCCTCATTGCTTCTGTTGTGTGTCCCATCAGTGTATGAATGTGATAAAGCTCTGATTATTCTTTGTATAGATCTAGTAGTGCTGTATGAATGGGTAAATGAAGGCACAGATTGTGTTGTAAAGAGCTTTGAGTATATTGATAAGATAGAAAGGTGCTATATAAGTACAGATCATTTACCATTTGTTCACTCTTTTTAAATCAAAGTCCTCCTTTTCAGGTCCAGCTTCTGAACAGACTCGGTAAAAAAGAAGTAAATGTAGAATCAACGATTGCTTTGTCTAACTTTCCATTATTCTTAGCATGGTGTCCATTGTAGGGTTTGGGGTTTTTGGTTCTCCCTGTCAAGATGTGAATGCTTCTCCCACTCCATAATATCAAAAGTGTCCTGTTTGAGTTTAGGTATACAAAACACATTTGCATGACACGATGTTTGTGTTCTAGTCTGTCATGCAGAAATTTGAAAGTTTTGAAAACAGATGAATGCTTTAACTTTGTTTTGACCTTTTATGGTCCTCTGGTGAACTGCGCTGCCATCCTCACATTTTATGTGATTAATTTTCTGCACGGCAAATATGTTAACAGGAAACTGGTGAAAGCAGCGTATCTCTGGCCCACGTCATCTTATGTCAGGTGTTAAACCTTGCTCTGTGGTGTTTCTGAGTCATAGATACCTCTCTCAGGGAAAGCTATCTAAGTAATGCTGCTCTTAAGGGGAAAGATGAGTTCATGGCTTTTAATAATCTGCTATTTTTGCATCCCACTGAAAATTCCTTCAGTTCAAGGATTTTTTTCTTCTTCTGCAAATCATTTTAAGTTCACATACTGAGTATATTTTTGCACAAATGGGATCCAATCAGTCATCAGCAAAGGGAATAAACACACTGGGCTTCGTGCACTGAGTTTAGGCAAGTGGTGTTCTTTGTATTAGTTTTATCCAACATCTACTTAAGTGTACCCAACTTGCTATTCCTTATCAATAATTGTATGAAAGTAAGAAAGCACTTATTGCATTTATACTGGGAGCAGATTCTGGGTGAAGATAATGAATATTCAGAATGAAACACCTTTTCTCTAAAATGACGCCCAGTTAGTTGACCTCATTTAAAATCTACAATCTAATGTGTTTCTGTTTCTGGACACAAATAAAATCCAGCAAAACAAGAGGGGTAACAATACAACTCCTTTATAAATGGACTGCATTTATATAGCACATTTCTATCTTATCAAGACACTCAAAGCTTTTTACAGCACTCTGCTAGATCTATACAAAGAATAATCAGAGCTTTATCACATTCATACAACGATGGGACACACATCAGAGGCAATGAGGAGTTCAGTGTCTTGCCCAGGGACACTTCGGCATGTGACTGCTGGTGGAATCGAACCCCCAACTCTTGCATTGGAGGACGACTGCTCTTAACCACTCAGCCACAGCCGCCCCATTTCTAAACAAGTTTATTGATCATTTACCTTGTCTTTCTTTTTTCTTATTACTTTTAAACACACTTCTGTAAAAAGTATAAAATGAGTGTTAAACGTGTTTAAAAGTGCACACGAATAGAGGATGAACATTTTCTCCACAAGTCTGACATTTAAAATCAGTTGCAGCATCATATTTGAGTGAAAAATGCATAAACAGTAACTAATAAACTATTTTATCTTTGTTTTCATTTACCCCTCACCGGCAAATTATTGCTCTCACAAGGAAACTAGGTTGAAAATGTCATCGTTTAAGGGGCAGCTGATAGTTTAAAGGAAAACTTCCACCTACTGAGCAAAACAAGAAGCAAATACACCTCCGTGGAAAATTCACGTTTCCTTTTAGAGGCTGTATACACCTCTTACACTTCCTCTGAATATATTACAAAATGTTACAAATACTTATAGTCTTCTTCATCAAAATGTTCCTATTCTGTTTTCTTGGGCCGGGACGAAGAAAAATAATTAGTGTGCCGATCACCGGACAAACCAGTCTGGATAAAAACATCTGCTGATTCTGGTAACCTGCAGAGCTGAAGCTGCAGATTCTTAGGATTTGTGAACAGATCCAGATGAATACTCAGGTGGAGTTACAACTTATTTACTTTTACTCTTCTAGCTGACTACTGTCTGTTTTATGTGTCTAAATTTTGCTTTTACAATAATCCTTATGCAAAAAAAAGCTACTGGACAGTAACTGGTTCAGCTAAACTACAACTTGAAGGTTGCTGTAAGTGTCTGACTTCAGTAAATATATTTTCCTTTTAGATGGTAACAGTCAAAAAGCATTTTTCTCTTCATGAACCTTTACCGTTTTCTTTAGTGATTGAGGTGTAAGAAACCAGACCCGGTGTGCAGATCTTCAGTTGTTCTTGGTCTTTTTGATAACGTAGTTTACTAATATCTCAGAGCTTTCCAGCCTTCAGGTCTGCACACAAAGGCCTGGTGTCAGAGGACCAAACCTGCGGGTGTTTGTTTTTTTATTGCCGAAGCTCTGAGCTCAGTTCTTCTGTCACCCACACGGCCTCGGCTGGAATGAAGGCAATGCAGGGACTCGTTTGTTCCACGAACAGAGGCATTGGACACATCTGCATCTTGACCCTGTTATTTATGACCTAACAACTTGTACATCATTAGAGCTGTAGTGCTAAATAGCAATGATGTGAGTGTGTAGCTACTCATGCTAACTGACATTGTGCTGAGCAGATCTAAAAATAGTCACTGGATCCTTTTATAGTTTCTGGTTCACACTCAGACTTGTGGTTGATGCTTTGTTGCAGGAAGAATCCAAATGTTGTTATGGCCATGCGCTGTGGGTCAAAGGTGTTTGGGAACAGGCAGGTGTGTCCAGGAAAAGACAGCTGGCTGTGTTGTAGGTGTTTAATCCGTGATGCTGGGATTTAAGTTGTGACTGTTGGCAGAGGATGGGAGGAGTGCTGGGAATGTGACGCTCCTCACAGAATCATGAACTGTCATCTCCATGAAGCATCGCTAATCAGCACAAACAGGCTGATGCTACTGACAGAACTATAAGAGACGGGGCAGCTCTGCTGGTTGTGTTTTCTCACAGCTCAGGGTGAGATTTGAAAGGTGTGGCTGAACAAGTTTACAGTAAAACAGTGCAGTCAAATTTAGAGTCTTTGTTTCTGCTTTGTTTCCCCTCAGATGAGAACGTGAAGGCTGGCGTCCACCAAGGCCACCGCTGCACCGTGGGCAGCGCACACCCATGATCACATGACTCTGGACATGGACGCGGTCCTGTCAGACTTTGTTCGGTCCACAGGGGCGGAACCGGGTCTGGCCAGAGACCTGCTGGAAGGTAAGAAACAAATAGATTAAGAATATTTTTGTCTTGGGTTTTTGTCAGCTGCTTCTAGTTGTTGCACTCGAGAGAGAGCAAAGAAAAAGGAGAAGAGGAACAAAATAAACAGAGGAGAGGAAATGAAAAGAAAGGAGCCGGTTAGAAGGCCGAGGAAAGGAGCACAGGGCCAGTTTGTAGATTTAAAGGTGGGTTTGATGGGTTTACGAGTACACTCCCCTGAGAGAGCTTTGTGTCCATTCACTGGAACCCATTGAGGAGCAAAATGCTGAGATGCAGAGCCACTTTAAAAAAAGAGAAACACAAGAGAGCCGAAGTGGAAATTACAACAGATTGATTGTCAGCTGAGCCACCTCTGATATTGAACTTTTGCCAGACGAACTTCCCAGCTCATTTCACTTTGGAGGCAACAAATGTGGAACTCTACAAGCAGACTCAAAGCTGACTACGTTCAATGAGAGGCGGCTTGCACCATAATTAGGCACGGAACGATGACTGGGTTCAAGGTTTACCATGGTGTTACAAAGTCACAGTGTCAGATTTGCTACATTTTTCATACCTTTCCTAAGGTTTAAAAGTCTTTTATTAAGATACCAGAGACAAAACATTTTTTTTATTTCCCCCCTCTGGTCACATTGACCTTTTTACAGTGACTAACGCAGATGCGTAAAATTGGGCACCGCATGCTTCACTATGGTCATAGCTATAGCTGACCGTAATTCAACTCTATTGTTTTGGCCCTTTACACTTGAGTTTTATTGACTTTTATAAACAAAACATAGTTATGAATTAGTTTCATTAGTATTTTATGTTGTGATAGTAATGTGCAATGTTGACGAGTGTCAACGTTATTTCAGCAAACTGGAAGTAGGCATGATGCTATCTAGACCACAAAGCATTGCAAAATACAGACTGAGCATGTGCATTAGTAACTGTACAAGGTTAGTGGAGCACTGAGGAGAGCTCCCCCTCTCCTACCTGCTGATTCTAGTCTTCCAGCTGAACAATAGCCGGGGGGCGGGGGGGTCTCCTATACTAATATGATTGTTAAAAGATGACATTGTCAGTCAGTTTTACATTTTATCTGGAGGACAACCCAAGCAAGTTGCGGCTTGCCTATCAAAGCTGCACATTTTTCTCAAGTAACACCATTTTGAAACAAACATTTGCAACAAGCGTCTTAACAGGTGAAATATACCAGCTGACTAACTCAGCTGTTTATTTACCGTCACATTACTTAAAGTGCAAAACCACAGAGATGAAGTCATCTTGTGCAATAGGCACAATTACGTTAGAATTATGTATAAATAAACTGAAAATAAATATAAATACAACAACCTGTTGACTCTAGTGTTTCAGCTCACTGTATTTAAATTAAACTTAAAATTTCAGTTTATTCTCAGCATTTATAATTGAATAAAAATATCATCTAAAAGTTTAAACATTATCATAAATAAAAAAATTATTAATAAAAAATTATCACAAATTTGTCTAAAGGAAGACACAAATATCAACACGTTCACTTATTGTCTCCTTATTTATATTTACGCTTAAAAATTATATTCCCTGTGGATAAGTATTGTATTTAGTGATATATACAGGGGTCAACATAAGCAGCTTCTGTTTGTCCGAGACAACCCATTTTTGTCTCAAGATAACCAGATCTCGTCTCGAGGTTGTCCAGTGGACAACCAAATCAAATAGACATGGATTAAAGTTCTCAGTTGCTGCAAAGGATTCTGCCATTTTTAAAAATGAAAGGAAAAAACATGCAGTTTCAACCGTTCCGATTTAGTCTGGACAGTCTCCGATTTTGCCCAACCTGACCCACGTCCCACAAAAGTAGTGGAGGGACACCCAAATGTCCCACATTTGACAAGAGCTGGTTGGGCTCACCTATTCATGCCGTGTCTGTGTGGGAGGAGGGATATAGAGGGGATGTTTCATGGGCTTCCTGCACCGCAGGATGGAGGTTACTATAAGAAGGATATATTGGCTGTGAAGTGCAAGTTCTCAGCTTTCAGAAACTGTTAGAGCTTTTCAGATAACACAATCTTTCACAAAACTACAGTAATGCAAAGCAAGCTTAGTTTAGTTTATTTATTTGTCATATGCAGGTCAACACAAGGGCAACAATGCAAAGAAATGCTCAGGACAAGATGAACCATCTCAACTCACCAGAAAAAAAAAAAAAAAAAAAGATAAAGAAATACCAAAGCATGCAACAAAAGTACAAAACAAAGCACGAAAAAATGAAAAAGACATGCAACATCTACAAGGTCCAAAAATATATAGGAAACAACATGGCAGAACACAACAGTGCAAGTAGGATGAATCCCTACAAAAAGGTACCTCACAGGCTGTAACAATGCTTAAATGCATATGATACATGTTGCACACAACATTCAACACACAGGTTGCGTGATAGGCCACTGCACAGGCAGTGAGCAACATCGAGATGAACGGAACCATGATGGCAAGGCAGCGACACACATGATACAGTCACATCGTGCAGCAGCAACAAACATATTAGGTGTTACAGATGTGACTCAGTTCTGTTGAGCCGGTAGACAGAGAAGTCGTCCCGAGCCACAGCACAGTCAGGGATGGATGATTCCACAAAGACACAACAGTTCCTCGTGTCCCGCTCGCAATAAATCCGTGCGCGCAGGTCATCCAGTTTATTCCTCAGAGACTGAATGCCCAAAATCAGGACCGAGGGGAGAGAGGGTTTGCTGTGTCTCTGGAGGCTCCTGCACAAAACACAGGCTCACTTTCCACTCTGTGTTTACCTCTTTCGACGCCCAGGTAAACGAAGGACCCAGGGGAAAATGTCCGCCTCGAAGTCCCCAAAAGTCAGCCCAAAGTCCCCACTCGCCGATGGCTGCAACTCCAAAAGTGTGTTGCAGTCTTACCCTCAGCTTGCCAGTGCAGTGCAGGTGCAAAAAAACCAAACCAAAAACAAAATAGTGCGAGTCGAAGCGGAGCTCTCATCAGTGCTGCCATGCTGTGGCGCACAAAAATAAGTCATCGGCAACACACTCGGAATAAGAAAGAAACATTTTATTGTTAAAGTTCAGGTATGTTTAATAATTAATTCGGCCATCAGCCATCATTTATTAGGTTGAAAATCTTTGCTTATTAGATTAAATAGTGCTTGAGGGATTGTTTGTGTGTGTGTGCGTGCATGCGAGTGTGTGTGTGTGTGTGTGTGTGTGTGTGTGTGCGTGCATACATTTTTGTTTCAGGTTATCTTGTAGGGACCAATTTTACCAAAAAAATTATGCATTGTCGGAACCAAAGCCAGGTCCCCATTAGAAGAAGTCTTGTTGGGGGGTTAGGTTTAGGACTAAGGTTTGAATTACGTATGGATTAGGGTTAGACATGTACTAGTAATGGTTAGGTTTAGGGTAAGGTTCAGGTTTAGGCTATAGAAAATGAATGGAAGTCAATGCAAAGTCCCTAGAAAGTATGTTTACAAGAACGTGCGTGCGTGCGTGCGTGCGTGCGTGCGTGCGTGCGTGCGTGTGCTTGTGGTGATAATTTAAATGTAGTACCCTTTAGTTGCTGTGGACACCATTAGTAGACTCATGATTTGTGGATACAGATGTGGTGTTTGTCGGGAACCTTGTATTTACTGCTTGTTTGTTTTACCAACCTACTGCAGCAGATATTTTGTGATAAAAGTACAAAAAAAATTATATAAAAAAAAGTTTATGTGTTCTGAGTGTCGTCATCATACACATGCACGTGTGACCAAACTTCTGGTCTTCAAAGGAGAAAGCGCCATGCTGGAGCTCTCACTCTGAGTATCTCACAGTGAGCCAGGCTGCGTCTGCTGCTTTAGTTATTATAATTAAACAATAATAACGCTAAAAGACAAAAAAATGTATGTGCCAGATTATAGCAGAGACGTGTCGTAGTTTAACTAATTTTCACCCAGTTCGGTCTGTGTGAGTCAGTTTCAGGAGTTTGTTGTTTATCATAAAAATCAGCTGAATTCAGTTCTACTCTGTGTTTTAGCAACAACAAGGTGCGGCTGTTTGGATGAGCTGACATGAGCTGACTAGAAAAATGAGAGAAACGTGATGATATTTAGGCAGCATAATTGATACTATTGTTTTTAAATGAACGCATATAAGTATTGTGTCTATTTGGGTTCAGACTTCTGTAAATTGTCGTTGTCAAATGCAACAAGTTGTCATAAAAAAATGACAGTTTCTGACATCTCTCTGCTTTCTTTAAGTATTGTTCTTTCTGACCCTGCTTTGGCACAATGCCTCAGAGGAATGTGTGACATGAACAGACATCAAACAAGACAGAGCACTCAGACGTGACAGACACGAGGCCGGATGTCCTGTCTCACTTTGTGTTGCTCTGATGTTAGCTTTCAAAGTGTGCACTGAGCAGACCTGCAGCTGGCCAGATGCTCTGTTATCCTGTGGCCTGCAGTTGGGGTGAAACGAGGAGGCAGTGCCACATGTGGTGCTTCCCTCTAGAGGCTGTTTTAGGTACTTAAACACCCTTTATTGGATTTCTGGTTATGAGTTCTAGAGTCATTTTACATTTTCACGAAAGGCAAAAAATCATTAACACTCGCATTTTGGTAAATTAGTTTAATTAAAGCAATCGATATAAGATACGGACAACTGTTACTCTGCATCATTTGTTATAAGATCTGGAGTTCAGTGAAGCTGCATTGTTTGTAATTTATTGCGACGGTGTCTGTTCCATTGTGCAAATGAGTTTGTCCGTGATCTTTTTGCCAACGACAGCCATTAACGATGAGAGTGTGGGAGCGATGCTTTCCAGGGGAGCATTTCAACACAGAGCAGCATAACGTGCTGAAGGGATGCGTACCTGGACTGTAGCTGGGGCTTCTGGATTCATGCCGCTAAAATCCATTCAGTCAAATCGGTTTGCATTGATTGGCGGGAGAGCAAGGGATTGGTGGTGCCTGGTTTCATTTTCAGACTGCCAGACAATCACACTGTCTGGAAGTCAGGGGGAAACGTCCTGCAGGACTCAGCCTGTGAGTCCATTAGGGGGATCCTGTTTCACAAACACGCTCATGTTACATG